CGCAAGTGTAGTCCTCAGTGTGTCGTGCCACTCACGCGGTGCCTGGCGGAGACCGTAGACTGGCCGCCGGAGGCTCCACTGGGTGCCAGGAGGAAAAGACCCAGTGAAGCCAGGTGGGCGGCGCAACCAGATCTCCTCGTGCAGGCTGCCCTGCAGGAAAGCTAAGCTGAAGTCAAGAGAGTGCAGCTCGTAGTCACGGTGAGCAGCTATGTGCAGCAGTACCTGAAGAGTGGTCATCTTTGGGGTGGGAGAGAAGGTCTGAAAGTAGTCAACTTCCTGCCGCTAACTGAAGCCACGAGCCACGTAACGCGCCTTGAAGACAGGCGGAGAACCCGGCGGCCGCTTCACCCTGAAAATCCACATGCCACTGACGATGTTCGCCCCAGGCCGGGGAACCTCGTCAACGAAGGTGCCTGTGGACTTCCACAAAGCCATCTTTGCGTCCATAGCTGGCTGCCACTGAGAGGAGTAGGGACCCTCTATCGCCTCTGCGTAAGAGCGCGGAGTCGGGATGTCAAGTGCATCCGGGTCTCCCTCAGGGGTAAGCAGTACGGACACGAGATGAGGTGAAGCAGCAGCTCGACACTAGAACTCCTCCTGATTGTCCTCAAGGACGTCCGTGCCAAGGGCACACTCACCCCCGACGGACGGAGGACAGACAGACTCAGACTCAGCAACAGGACTGGTGGCGTAGTCTAGGCGACAGCGAGCAGCAAAGTCGACGAGCTCAGCACTAGGGCAGACGCAGTAGTGGATTCAAAGGAAGGGCCCGTGACAACAGTAGCAAGGAGACGCGTGACAGTAAGACTGGCAGCACGAATAGAGTCCGACTCCGGGTTGGCAAGAGCAAAAAGAGAAGACTCAAGAGGAGAAGGTAAAGGGGCACGCAGAGGAACAGTGGATGGACGCAGAGACATCCCGTGCGTGCCAGGGCCAGGAAGAGGACGCTGACGTGAACCGCGACCACTAGTGCGAGCAGCACGGGCAGGCGACGCAGGGCGAGACGCAGGCTCACGACGCTCGGCAAGACCTCCAGTAGGACCAGTGTAGGGAGACGGAGCAGGAAGTGGGGTGGCCGGCTGTAATTGTAATTGTGACGGGACAAGCTGTGGACACTCGAAGGGAGGAGGAGGACCAGTAGAAGGCGGTAGACCAAGAACCTGCTGAAGGAGCGGAACGAAGTACGACCGAGGCCGCGCGGCGACTCAAGACACAGCAGGGACAGCACTAGTACCCCCAGCGGCAACACCAGCACCAGCAACACCTCCAGCTCCAGTACCTTTAGCAGCACCAGTAGCACCCCCAGCAGGCTCGCCTCCAGGACCGACAGCAGTAGCCACCGCATCAACACCCGCAGCAGCTCCAACTCCAGAAATACCTGCAGGCCCAGTAGCTCCAATACTCCCAGTACGAGCAGCTCCGGGACCCGCTGCACAAGGATTGTCAGCAGCTGCAGAACCTCCCGTACCTGCAGCACCTCCTGCTCCAGCAGCTCGCCTCCAGCGCCAGGCAAATCACTCACGTAGCTTGTGTGGAGAGAGTGGCTCCCGACAAGACGAAGCACCTGGAGAACCGCCACGCACAGCACCGCCAGACGCCACACGAGCAGGCCTAGCTCCCCAAGGCTCAGCACCTCAAGGCATAGCACCCCCAGGCGTAGCACCCCCAGGTGTAGCACCCTTAGGCTCAGCACCCCCAGGCTCAGCACTCCTAGGGTCAGCACCCCCAGGCTCAGCACCCCCAAACTTAGCACCCCGAGACTCAGCACCCCCAGGCTCAGCACTCCCAGGCTGAGCACCCCTAGGCTCAGCACCCCCACGCGTAGCACCCACACGCTCAGCACCCCCAAGCTCAACACCCTCAGTAGCACCAGAGCCACCAGCGACCTCGACAAGCTCAACAGCGTCTACCTGGGACACACCTGAAGGGGCAGGACCCTGAGGGGGGAGGTGGTCTACGGGGGGGGGACCTAGCACAAGGAAGAGCGGTGGCGGGGGGAGGGACGGAGTGCGGTAGGGGAAGAGACGGTAGTAGGGGACCAACTCGTCGAACTTGACGTCCTGGGAGGACACAACACGGCGAGAGGTGGGGTGGTAGAACTGCCACCCTGGCGCGTCAGAGGGGAAACCCAGGAAGACGCAAGGAGCAGCACGAGGGGACAGCTTGTCCGCAGACAAGTCGCAGACAAACGCCCGAGATCCCCAGACACGGAACGCAGACGCATCGCCAACCTTCCCCGTCCACAGCAAAGCTGGGGAGGTCTCCGGCATGGAGACCCAGGGCTGAAGGTTGATCTGATGCGCCGCGTACTGGACCGCAAACGGCCACAGAAAATGGGGGGCAGCCGCATGCATCATGGACGTACGGGCGACGTCCATGACCATGCCAATGCGGCGCTCAGCAATCCCATTTTGCTATGGAGAGTCCGGAAGCGTGAAGGTCCGACGGATGCCTCGTGCACGACAGTAGGCTCGCAGAAGGCCAGAGGAGAACTCTCCGCCTCTGTCAGAGTGCAGACGCAAAACAGGAAAGTCCGAGCCGAAGCTCCGCCTGAGCTGGAGACGAGCTGCGCGGATCTAGTCGATCAACACCTCAGTGACATCACCCTTGCTGCGCAAGGGGAAGACTGTGGTGTAACGCGAGTAGTCGTCAACCACCAGCAGGAAGTAGCGCTCGTGACCCTGTCCACGGACGCGGGCCGGGCCCCACACGTCCATGTGAAGCGTCTGCAGCGGGCCCTCTGTCGGAGGAAACTGAGAGGAGTGAGGGGCAGCCCGCTGCCGCCCCTCGACACAGGGGACGCAGGTAGGGCTAGGCCCCGGAGGAAGGGGAGGGAGGGACCGGGGAAGACCAGAGACAAGGACACGGGAGGCCATGCTTCAGAGACAAAGCATGGAGGGGTGACCAAGGCGGTGGTGCCAGAGGAGAGTCTCGTGAGACAGGAGACGACACGAGCAGGGGGCATACTCAGGACCAGACCTGGACGTTGCAGCAAACACCTGACCCAACGCAGCTACCTGACAAGACGCAGTGACTGGAGGAGACGTAGTGGTAAGTGTGTACAGGCTCGACCCCGGGTGACGTGTAAACGTGGCCAGGTGTCGCCCTGTCCGAGCGTCTGTGCAGTGGGTCACCCCCTGACTCGCAGGAGTGAACTGGTGAACCCCCGCATCCTGTAGGTCAGCACCACTCACCAAGTTTGAAGAGAACGAGGGGAGGTAAAGACCAAACAGGGTGCCAGAGGGGGCCGCCGGACACAGGAGGACAGTGGAGAAGTGAGCAAGGACAGGACCCCCAGAGGGGTCTGCCAGAGAGACTGCAACTGGCCGACCAAGCGGCGTGAGTGTGGTGCGGTCTCGAAAGAAGGAGCGGGAAGCCCCCGAGTCAAGAGTGAAGGTGTGAGAGGCCGGAGCCGACGCGGTACCTGAGAGCGCAGCCTCACCCGCACCTGAGGAAGCAGACTCACTAGCACCTAGAGCAGCAGCGGCACCTGTACCTGGAGCAGGAGACACACTAGCACCTAGAGCAGCAGCCTCACCAGCAGCTAGAGCAGCAGGCTCAATACCCGGGTCAGGCGGTACGCATACGTGACCGGCGCGTTCAGCACTAGTAGGCAATGCATACATGGCAGTGAGAATAGCATCATAGTCAAGAGCAAATATATCTACCCTCTGCCTAAGCAAGTCCACCCAGTCGGGTAGCTCATCCTCGTCACCAAACTCAGTACGCCAGGCGTCGCTCAGACAGGCGAAGCAGCGGGACTGTGTGTGACTAGGTGTCTCACAAGGCTGACCAGTCCGAGCACCAAGAGCAGCGAAGAGAACTGAGAGACCCTCTACTGTGAGCGTACCACTTACGAAGCTGCTGGGGCGTGAGAGACGCGCATGGGCGTCGCAGGAGCTGCATCTGGCCGCCGCAAGTAGTAGTAGCAGCACTAGTGGTAGCAGTAGCAGCGACGCCACCCCTACAACCCCAACCAGCATACCACTCACGCAGCTGCTGGGGCGTGAGGGACTCACGCGGACGTCGTTGGGGCTGCATGTGGCTCTGCCAGTAGAAGCAGGAGTAGGTGTAGCAGTAGTAAGGCAGGCAGCCAGGCAGGCCGAAAGGCAGGCAGGCAGGTAAGCAAGCGGCGGGCAGCGCGGTAGCAGGGCAGGGGCTCACCAGTGGTGGGAAGAGAAGGCTCGGCGACTCGTCGACTCGGCAACTCGGCGGTGCGGGCGGCTCGGCGGCACGGCGGCTCTGCGGCAACTGCGGCTCGGCGACTCGGACGGCTCGGCGGCAATTGCGGCTCGGCGACTCGGCGGCTCGGGCGGGTCAGGTGGCGCTGCGGCTCGGGCGGCTTCGGTAGCAGCTCGGCGGCGCCGGCGGCTCGGTGGTGACGGCGGGGCCGCTTGGGGACAGCGGCGGGGCCAGGTGGAGCGGCGACGGGGCCAGCTGAGGTGGCGCCGGGGCCACAGGGTAGGTGACGGGGCCAGCAGAGGCGGCGCTGGGGCCGGGAAGGGCGGCGCCGGGGCCGCAGAGGTAGGCGACGGGGCCAGTAGAGGCGGCGCCTGGGGCCGGTAAGGGCGGCGTCGGGGCCAGTAGAGGTGGCGCTGGGGCCGGTAAGGGCAGCGCCGGGGCCGCAGGGGTAGGCGACGGGGCCAGCAGAGGCGGGGCCGGGTCGGGAAGGGCAGCGTCGGGGTCGCGAGGGTAGGCGACGGGGCCAGTCGAGGTGGCGCTGGGGCCAGGAAGGACGGAGCCGGGGCCGGGATGGGCGGCGCCGGGGCCGCAGGGGTAGGTGACGGAGCTGCTAGGGCGGCGGATCGGGGCCGCGAGGGCGGCGCGACGCGGCCGCTAGGGCGGCGCGACGAGATAGGGCCGCGACGGGGTAGCGGGGAGTGGCACGACTAGAAGGAAGAGGGCCGCGCGCCTCGGGGCACGCGCCAGAGCAAAAAATCGCCGCGCGCCGTTGGGTCGCATGCCACGGGGCGGTGGAGGTGGTCACGCCCAAGGACCACATGGGTGACGTCATTGGTGACCTCATATCGCACCGCGGGCAGATCAACGGCTTTCGAGAAAAGCCGTGTGGCATGAACGTGAGATTCGGGGCAGGGGATGGAGCCGGCGATGTAAGTAGGAGGTGTTGACACCAAAGAATGCGCCACTCAAACCTAGGAGATGTCTGCACCAGCACGAAGAGAAGGGAGGAGGTAGAAGCATCCGAGGTTATAGCACCGGTTGCAAGTGAGAGGAAAGAGAGTTGGTTACAAGCGGGCGGGCAGAGGGAAATAGCATGTAAGAGATGTAGCAAGGATGGGTACATTCCCTATGGAAGCTGTGGCAGAGGGGCTACTATAAGAACCAGGTCATTGGCGCCCTAGGCCATCACTTCCAGATGTTCCAGTTGTTCCCCACCATCTATCATCTCCCTTATCTCTTGCCACTGTCAGAGATGTTCAACATGTGCCCAACCTTGCTTGCTTGATTCCAGGGGTTCATCATCAGATGGTACATGAATGTGCTGGTGCCACTATTGAAAATGTTCAACTACATATCAAACCTTCCTACATGTGCTCCTCATCTTTCATTTCCACGTTTTTCTTGCCCCCTTCTTTCCCCATTGAATCAGGTGGTTGACGCGCTGGTGCCGCTGTCAGAGATGTTCAACTATGTGTCCAACCTGCGCGGCATGACCAAGGGTCACGGTGACCCACAACAATCTCTTCTTCCCCCCTCTTCCTGCTTATCTACTTTCATTTTGCTTTTCCGATGCTACCAGGTGGTTGACGTGCTGGTGCCACTGTCGGAGATGTTCAACTATGTGTCCAACCTGCGTGGCATGACCAAGGGGCGAGCCAACTACAACACGCAGCTCACACAATTTGACATCGTCCCCACCAACATTTAGAACCAAAAATCACCGCCAAGGCTTAGGGCATCGTTGTCTAACTCCTTTTTTTGAAGTCAAACTGCATTATATTCTTGTAGGCTGTAGTGGGTTAGCCCATACAGGTTACAACCCTTTTAAGGTTGCATACTTGTATCCCACAGCTGCTAGTCACACATCATTCCGCTGTTCTCATTCTAACATGGTATCATGCGCTAGGTTAGGTCCGACAGCCGAGCCTACTACCGAACCTACGACTAGGTCCGACTGCCGAACCTACTACCGAACCTACGACTAGGTTAGATTTGCCCCGCTGCCCCGCGCCTCAAGCGCCTCTGCCCCACTGCCCGCGCACCCCGCGTGCCTTGCTGCCCCGTGGTGCCCTGCCCTGCACGTTGCGCTGCCCAGATTATGCCTTCGCGCTGCTCTGCCCTGCGCGTTGTGCTGCCCTGCCTGCGGCGTCGCGCTTCCCTGCCCGCCTGCTTGTTGCGCTGCCCTGCCCGCCCGTGCGTTGCACTGCCCTGCCTGCCCGTGCGTCGCGCTGCCCTGCCCGCCAGCACGTCACGCTGCACTGCCTGCCCGCGCGTCACGTTGCCCTGCCCGCCTGCGCGTAGCGCTGCCCTGCCCGCCCGCGCGTTACGCTGCCCTGCCCGCCCGCGCGTCGCGCTGCCCTGCCCGCCAGCGCGTCGCGCTGCCCTGCCCGCCCGCGTGTGGCGCTGCCCTGCCTACCAGTGCGCCCTGCTACTCACGCGCCCTGCGCTCCTTGCTGCCTCGTGTGCCCAGCGCGCCCTGCTGCCCTGCGCGCTCTGCTCCTACTACCCTGCGCGTGCTGCTGCTGCTGCCAACAGCTGCTGCCTGTAGCCGCCCTAGGTGCTGTTGCGAGCAGCTGCCACCCTTGCTACCGCCTATGCACGCTACCGCTCCTCCTTCTGCCACTGCTGCCATTGCACCTGCCGTTTCAGCTACGGCCGCTGCAATCGCCACTTCAGCCCTTGCGCCGCTACTGATGACTGCTGCCGCTTGTCATGTCCACTATCACTGTCCTAACGGTTGACGTAGACGGGCGCCCTTTCATGTTTGAGTTGTGGCTCGCCAACCTGCGCCGATATCTCCGACGTTTTGTTAGAGGTTGCGTTTCCCCTACTCAAGCACAGGTTCCTTCAGGCCCCCACGACTCCCACTGAGCTTGCTTCTAACGCTAGAGCGGACGTGTAGTGGCGGTAACGGGTGGACCCCCTTACCGACACATAGTGGACAGAGCGCGACACTGTCGCACAGCTTGTCATCCAAGCTCACCTACCGGTCGACTAACGGGCCCACTTTCACCAGTTGACGTCGGCCCAGAATTTTTACGACGCTGTGGTTGGCCACTATTCCTCCCTCTGTCCTACCACCCGGCCAGTGCGGCAGCACCGTCCGTTGTTAGGGGAGGTGCAGCAGCTCGTCGAGGAGGCGAGTGTAGGTACCTGTGTGTCTGCTCGTACAGGTGGTGATTCTGGTTGAGGTGGAGCTTTTGGGGGTGGAGAGCTGTGGCAGCAGTGTCAGCAGGAGACAGCCCCTGGTGGTGTAGAGGCAGCTAGTCTAGGTGCCTGTGAGTCTGCTAGCATAGGCGCAGCTTCTGTAGAGGCTTTGCACACCTTCACGCTTGTCTACGGCGCGACTCGCTACTTCTTCCGCGACTGCACAACGGTCACATCGCTCAATGCACATGTCCCAGTCACTCTGGCTGACCCCTCTGGGGGCCCAGTTGTTGCACGTGCCTCCACTGTTCTCCGTGTCCGGCAGCCCCCTCCGGCTCCCTCACAGGTTTCCACCTCCCTCAGTTTGCTAAGAACTTGGTGAGTACAGCTGTCTTCCAGGAAGTGAGCTTGTGGCGATCTGTATGGACTCACGGACTGTCGCCCACCTTGCCACGTTCACTCAGAGACCCGGGTCTAGCCTGTACACACTGACCACTGAGTATGCACAAGTAGTTGCGTCTGGTCGGGTAGATGCGTCTTCTCAGGTAGCTGTGTCTTGCTCGTGTCCGTTACTCCCTCACTCGTCTCTCCTCTGGCATCCCCATCTTGGTCACCCCTCCCTGCCGCGTCTACGTAGCATACACTCCCGTCTCCTTGTCTTTGGCCTCCCCAGGTCCCTAACCCCACTCCCTTGGTCGCTTGCACCGCCGTGCCTTTCCTGCGTCGAGGGGAAGCAGCGCGCCGCTCCTCACTCCTCCTCGTTTCCTCCGACCACTTCTCCTCTGCAGACTCTCCACATGGATGTGTGGGGCCTCGCCCGCATTTGTGGACAGGTTGTTAATGACTACACGTGCTACACCACGGTCTTCCCCTTGCAGATCAAGGCAGATGCCCGCGGTGTTTTGATCCCCTTGATCCACACTGTTCGCCGCTAGCTAAGCGCACGGTTTCTGTAGGATCTTCAGGTCCTGCGACTGCACTCTGACAGAGGTGGTGAATTTTCCTCCCGCCTCTTTGAGGACTTTTGACGTGGGAAGGGCATCGCCCAGTCATTCACGCTTCCGGCCTCTCCACAGCAGAATGGCATTGCTGAGCGCCGCATTGGCTTGATCATGAAGGTTGCTCGCACATCCATGATCCATGCGGCTGCCCCCCATTTTCTATGGCCGTTAGCGGTCCGATACGCCGCGCATCAGCTCAACCTCCAGCCCCGTGTCTCCGTGCCAGAGACCTCGCCCACACTGCGTTGGACGGGGGAGGTTGGCGATGCGTCGGCGTTGAGGGTCTAAGGCTTGCTCTCCCTTGTCCGCGATTCCACCGCACGCAAGCTCTCTTCTCGCACCGCTCGCTGTGTCTTCCCTGGCATTCCCACCAACGCGCCTGGCTGGTAGATTTACCACCCAGCCTCGTGTAGGGTCCTGACTTTTCAGGACGTCACCTTTGACGAGTCGGTTGGCTTCTACCGTCTCAACCCCTAGTCGTCTTCACCTGTGGAGAGAGGGGCTCCCGGCGAGACGCAGCAGCAGGAGAAACCCCAGGCTCAGCAGCTCCAGACGCAGCAGGGACAGCACCAGCACCCTCAGCGACAGCACCAGCGCCACCCACACCTCCAGCGGCAGGACCAACAGCAGTAGGCTCAGCACCAACGCCCTCAGCACCTCCAGCTCCAGGAGGACCCGCAGGTCCAGCAGCTCCAGGACCGGCAGCACCGGTAGCCTGCACGAGGAGATCTGGCTGCGCCGTCCACCTGGCTTCACTGGGACTTTCCCTCCTGGCACCCAGTGGAGCCTCAGACGGCCAGTCTACGGTCTCCGCCAGGCACCGCGTGAGTGGCACGACACACTGAGGACTACGCTTGCGGCTCTTGGGTTTGCTCCTTCTACTGCTGACCCGTCGCTGTTTCTGCGCACCGACACCTCGCTGCCGCCGTTCTACATCCTCGTGTACGTCGACGACTTGGTCTTTGCCACAGCGGACACTGCTGGACTCGCCTACGTGAAGTCCGAGCTGCTGAAGAGACACACGTGCACAGACCTGGGTGAACTGCGCAGCTACCTTGGCTTGCAGATCACTCGGGACAGAGCACGCCGCACCATTACCTTGACTCAGTCACACATGGTGCAGCAGGTCCTTCAGCGCTTCGGCTTCACGTACTCCTCGCCTCAGGCCACTCCTCTACCTACTCGCCACTCACTCTCAGCTCTGCCTTCGGATGAGTCCGTAGAGTCGAGTGGTCCGTATGCAGAGCTTGTTGGCTGTCTCATGTACCTGATGACCTGCACACGACCTGACCTTGCATACCCTCTGAGCATTCTTGCACGCTATGTTGCTCCTGGGAGACACAGACCGGAGCACATGGCTGCAGCGAAGAGGGTATTGCGCTACCTGTGCAGCACGTCGGGCATGGGGCTAGTGCTTGGAGGGCGGAGTCCAGTGGTCCTTACCGGCCACGCGGACGCTTCTTGGGCTGACGACCAGGCTACGCAGCGGTCGTCACAGGGTTACACCTTCAGCCTTGGTTCCGGCTCTGTCTCGTGGCGGTCTACTCGCTCGTCTTCGGTTCTCGGCTCCAGTTGTGAGGCTGAGATCTACGCCGGGGCCATGGCTGCACAGGAGCTTCGCTGGCTCACCTACCTGCTGACTGACCTTGGAGAGCCGCCTCGTTCTCCTCCAGTGCTGTACGTAGAAAACAAGGCTATGCTGGCCTTGTGTCGAGAGCAGCGCTTGGAGCACAGAACGAAGCACATTGCTCTCCGCTACTTCCTTGCTCGTGAGCTGCAGCAGCGTTGTCAGTTGCGACTTGCGTACGTGGCCTCTGAGGCCAACACTGCTGATGTGTTCACCAAGGCACTCGCGCCTTGTGACCATCAGCGCTTTTGCACCCAGCTGGGTCTTGTGCCTGTCTTGCCTCACTTGCTCTCCTCTTGACTTCACTTGTACTGAGACATATATATATGCCTGCTCTTGTTTGTCTAGTTTTATATATATGTCTGTACTCCTGCATGTGAACTGGCCTCTGGCCCTACTCTTGTGCTCGGACTGTGTGGTGACTTTGTGATCCACCCTGAGCTTGCTTTGCTTTGCTTGACTGGTCTTGTGACCCCTTGTTCTCCCCCACTTTGCCTATGGGGGTGTGTCAGATTTATATGACATAGTTGTTGTAGGCTATAGTGGGGTAGCACATATGGGGTACAGGGTTTCTAGGGTTGTATTTGTACCCATCTTTCCTTAGTCATTTTCATCCCTGTTCGTTTATTCTCACACCACCTACCTTGGTTGAGACTTTGGAGGTCTCCTCAAACACTTTTGGCCCAGCTGAGGGCGGTGACCCTGTTGCTGACGACACAGCCGTCACTCGCCGCTCACTGCGCTTGGAGACTCCTCCTGGTTTCCCGCCTCGGCCGTCTTCGCCACCTCTCCAGCCTGTCGCTGTTGACTCCAGTGCTGCTGGAGGTGGTGAGCCTAGGGGTGTGGACCTTGGGGGTGCTGGTTCTGGGGGTGCTGCGAGTCATACTGGTGGTCGAGTTGTGGGTAATCCTGCTCTCTGTGAGTTGGATACAT